TTCTCCTGGTTCTGCACACTTCACTCAGCATCAGTCCATACAAGTCTTTCCAGGTTTTTCTAAGGTCCATTTGCTCATCATTTCTTATAGCACAATAACATTCCATTACATTCATGTACCACAACTTGTTTAGCCATTCCCCAAATAATGGGCATCCCCTCAATTTCTGATTCTTGGCCACCACAAAAAGAGCTGCTATAAATATTTTTGTACTTGTAGGTCCTTTTCCCATTTTTATGATCTCTCTGGGACACAGCCCTAGAATTGCTTTTGCTGGGTCAAAGGGTATGCACAGTTTTATAGCTCTTTGGGCATAGTTCGAAATTGCTCTCCAGAATGGTTGGATCAGTAAGGATATACTTTCTACTTCAGTGAAGGGAGTTTCCTTCCTCCCTCCAGAAATAGCATGGGAAAACAATCAAGGAACTAATTTGTAATAATTACTGGGATACTATACAATCCTTTTATTTTAGTTCTAGGTAGATAGAGCACTAGAAGACCTAAATTCAAATCCTGCCTCAGACATTTACTAGATGTGGCTGATCCTAGGCAAGCCACACAACCAATCTCAGCCTTAGTTTCCTCATCTGCAAACTGGGGATGATAATAACACCTACTCCTCCATGGATGTTGTGCACGAATCAAATGGGATAATATATATAAAGCATTTTGCAACCCTCAAAATGCCACACACATTCTAACTGTTGTTATTACTTATTATTATGTGAATGAGATGGGGGGGATGGAGGAGCGACATGCAGTAGCCAATAGCAGAGGAAGGGAGACAACATGCACACAGTATGCATTTCCCCCTTTATGTGTCAGGTGCCGTACTAAGCCAAGGATATAAATATGAGCAGAAGCCCTTGCCTCCAAGGAGCTTAGATCCTGATGGGGGAAGACAATATCTAAAAAGGAAAACATATATAAAACACATGTTTATATGCTTGTATACATATATACATATATTCATACATGTATGTGTATATATATGTGCACACGTACACATACACACATATGCATATGTATATGCATAGACATATACATATGCATGAACTAAAAAGCAGGATGGGATGAGGTGGGTGAAGGTATCCACAGAGTCATGGTGACCAGGTTCAGACAGCCAGAAGCAGGACAGAGAGAGAGGAATGAAGCATGGCTGGCCTGGGCCCTTTCTCACAAGGGCAGTTCCTAAGAGAACTCACCAGTGGGAGAAGGGGGCCTCAGTAGTAGCAGATGTTCCAGGGTGAGAAGGCTGCAGAGACCGAGGGATGCAGAGATCATGGGCGAGAAGGCAAATGATGTAAAAGTCTCAAGAGGTTTGCAGCCTCAGTCTCATCTTTGTCTCCTCATTCTCCCCAAGCCCTTCTGTCCCCATCCTGGGCCCTCCTCACCCCTCATCGGATGTACCTGTCCCCTTCTTTTCACTCACACAGACACCGCTCTAGTTCAGACCCTCATTACCCAGTTGTTATAATAGCCTCATACTTGGCCCCTCTAACTCAAGTATCTCGTCCCGTCTCCAATTCATCCTCCTCAGAACTGCCAGTGTGATTTTTCCTATTCAACAAACTCCATTGGTTCCTTATGATCAAATGAGATAATATTTGTAATGCACTTAGCATAGTGCTTGGCACATAGTAGGTGCTATACAAATGCTAGTTATGATGATGATCAAAGGTAAACTCCTTCACAACCTGGTCCCACAGACTTTTCCAGTCTTACTCTGCGTTACTTACCTCCCACTCTAGGGTGTGATCAAACTGGCATTCTTGCTGCTTCTCACACATGCCTCACCATCTTCCATCTCTGTGCCTTTGCATTAGCTCTCCCTTGTGCCTAGAATGTGCTCCTTCTTTGTATGCATCTTTTACAACTCCTTGTTCCTTTCAAAACTCAACTCAGATACAACCTTTTACGTGAACCTTTTTCTGATCTCTTCAGCTGCTAGTGCTTTGCCTCTCCCTGCCCTCAATGACCTTGTATTTATTTTGTATATGATACGTACATGTCATCTCCCCTAATGGAATGTAAGCTCCCCAAGGGCAGGGATTTTCATTTTTGCCTTTTTATCCCCTACCACAGTACTTGGCACCTAGTAGGCATTTAATAAATGCTTGTTTATTCATTAATTCTATTTATCTTTGACAAATAAAAAGGAAAATACAAAAATAAATAGACAAAGGCAGATGAAATATAATGAACACAAAAGCGGTACTGTATGAATAGCATCAAGATGAGAAATGGTTATTGACAAATACTGAGACAAGGAAGGAAGGAAGGAAGGAAAGAAGGAGGGAGGGAAGAAGGAAGGAAGGAAGGAAAGAAGGAAGGAAGGAAGGAAGG